AGCACAGCCACTCCTTAGAATCTCCCAAGGTATATCCACTAGTTGCAGTAGTATAAACTTAGTCTGGCAAGATTCTATCTATTATGGTGTAAGCAAATAAAGGAACTTAACTCAACTGGACTGTTTCACCATAGTTCTTGGGCTGGGTCTGACAGAAGCAGAGTGGGACAAAAAACTCAATTTGGTTTAATTGAATTAATATATAATTAAATACAATGAGTATTATTGATAATTTTCACATTGTTTCACATTAATAATTTCAGTGGCAATTTTTGGAAGGGTGCTTGGGAGGGGGAAAAATATTGGGTGTCTCTATTATATTTTATAAACACATGCAATGAGAAATTGAAAGAGGTTAGACATATAACTGCTGTGAAAGATGAATCACTGTATAGCTTATATTTACCCCACATGTACAAAGTTTTATGCATCAGCTCTGAAAAAATCTGTAGGAAATGATGCCATTCATCTTTAAAAATCCAGATTTTTACAATCCAGATTTTGTTTTTTTAATGAATTTTAAATCCAGACATACTTTCTTTTGTATTAATTATCTAGATCAGTGTTTCTAAACCTCAGCAACTTTAAAATGAATGGACTTCAAGGCTGGAGAATTCTGGGAGTTAAAGTCTACCCATCTTAAAGTTGTTGAGGTTGAGAAACAGTGATCTAGATTAAGAGGTTTAGTGTAACTAACTTTCTATTTTCAGAGAGCTGATGTTTGTGAGTGAAATGGTTGCCAGCTTGTATTCATCATGTAACTCATATCTGAGCGACATATGAAATTTATGTGTTTTTGAGCAAACTAAACACAATAAATTTATATGGCCTTGCTAAGTAAATGCTTAAATTACTATTTACAAATATAATACAAACTAAATTTGATAATATTCTTTTTGTAGTCATATGCCAAGACATATATAAAAGATATTTCACCTTTATATAAATTGTTTTTAATTAAATAAAAGTTCTATTATAAAGATCTTTTTTGCATATTTGTTAATCAACTCATAATATTATATCTCAGAAGTTCCCTGATAATCTGAGTGCCTTATGCTTTTTTTTTTTAAGTACCCTTTTACATAATGTTCAGAGTGGCAAACTGTGTGTTTCTCATTATGGATATACAGTACATCTAATGCATACATAATTCTCACATTTATTAGTAATAATGGGAAATTCACAATTAGAAGTGTTTGTCTATTTCACTTTGAAACTCCTCATCCTATTTCTAGTTAGGAACAAATGTCTCTGAATCTGAATTCCATTACTGGGATCTGTTGCCAAAACTTTCACTCCTGGAATTTCTTTTTCTCAAATACCCACTAATATTCTGGGTCTGGCCATGACATTTCTTGTGTCTCTCCATGTGTGTATATGCACATGTGCATATAGTGTATAGTACAGTGTTTGAATGCTCATCTGAAGCACAAGTTATATTCATATATCACTTCTAGTATGACAGTGAAATATATTTATCTTAGGCTTAAATTGTTGGCTCTTGATTTTCTCTGAGATTGCTCCCATCTTGCAGACGTTTCAGTACCAGGCAAGTTAATGTCATCAGTGCACTGGTAGTTCAGACAATACCATGAGCCTTGCTAAAAAAAGTCTTAAATTACTATTTAAAATTTAATGGATAACTTCTAATACAAAAATCTATTTATGGGTATTTAAAAAAATGTTATCAGGAGTCCTTCCTTCCTTCCTTCCTTCCTTCCTTCCTTCCTTCCTTCCTTCCTTCCTTCCTTCCTTCCTTCCTTC